GATAAAAAAAATTGACAAAAAACTTTTTGTCGATTTAAAATTGTGTAAATAAATGATAAAGTTCAAGTCGTCTTAAAAAAAGTTAAAGAATAAAGATTCTATTTATTTTGTGACTGGCGATGTTATTAAAATGTCAAAATGTTTAAAACTATTGGAGAAGAGGAATGTTATAAAAGTTTAATGTGCTCAAGAAAAAAAATTAAAAATAAAATGGAAAAGTCAACTTCCTGGTTTGAACATGAATTTAATTTTGAATTTAAAGATGTTATCTGGAAACTCTCAAACTTATTAGAAACGCGAGAATTAATAAAAGGGAGGCATTCGTTGCCTTTAAAAGACAACGGAAAACAGGCTAAAAGAATAGCATTTTCTAATCCGTCTAAAAAAGCTAAATATCATACAAAGTATATACTCTAAACAGCAAGATACACAGCCAAACAAATAAGTAATAAAAACTTAGAAAAAGTTATCATGTGCATTCTACATATGCATATGATATCAATAAAAACATCGACAAAAAAAATGTCTCTAAATGAGAGACTTACTTTTCCATTAAATTTTGGTTTTACTAAATCTCAGTACAACGCAATAAGAATGGAAAGTAAATAGAGAGGTGCAGATATTTATCCGCTTTACAGCTATATTGTGAAATTTAAAAAAAATGTAGACCAAATAATACGCACATCTCTGACAAGTAGGTAAATGTGCCATTACAAAACTTTCTAATACATATTGTTTAAAGAGTAGTGTAATCACAAGAGGCGCAAATTATATCCAAAATTATTAATATAGGAAAGGTATTTGAGTTGATTTTTGTTGTAAATTAAAGATTTGATGGAGCCAATGAATTTTCCCAATTCAATTAGAAGTTCGATGAGTTATGTTAAATTTCATCCAATGATTCTCTTTTTTCTGTTACCCTTAAGACTTAAAAAGAATGGATGTGATGTGTTTTAGGCAAAACCAACTCCTAATTCTCTTAGATTTTGCAGACCAATGATCTTAAAGAGCTTATTCTTGTAACAAAATATTTTTTTGAACGACAAATAAATAAACTTTCTGATGTTAAAATATGGCTACCAAATAGAAAAGTTCTTATTATCAAAAGATTTTTATTTTTAAAAGCCATCGATGAAAAATTTTTAGCGGAAGTTACTGAAACACCATTTTATCTATTTTGTCCGCTTTGTAAAGCAACACCTACTAAATCTAAAACATATCAGAAATTACACAAATAAAGTATTTCATACTGAGAAACCCACTTTACTCTTCAGAATGTGTCCACTTCATTGCTGGATCCGTTTCATGGAATATTTCCTTCACTTGTCCTTCAAATTGTGTATTAGGCAACGGGTTCATTTAATAATAGCAACACTGCACGGCAAACCTTTTCTGATCCAATATTGTTATCAAAAACTTTGGATATAGTTATAAATCTTATTGTCCCTACAAGAACAGTATTAACATTTTTGTCTTGTCAAATTCTAATTAATCCAATCAAATTTGAAAAATATTGTCTACAACATTATATTCTATAATCAATGAAAAATATTCAATGCATAAAGTTCCTACTTGCGTTCATAAAACGTTAGCTCATGAAGTTCAAGTCCTGGTTGAATTGATTTTGCCAGTTGAATCTTTCAGTAAAAATGCTGGAGAAAGTCTTCACAAATGTCATAGAAAAGATTGTATATTTAAATGTCATAGAAATAATTGTATGATTGTCATAGAAAAGATTGTATGATTGTCATAGAAAAGATTGTATGATTGTCATTGAAAAGATTGTATGATTGTCATAGAAAAGATTGTATGATTGTCATAGAAAAGATTGTATGATTGTCATAGAAAAGTATGTATGATTGTCATAGAAAAGATTGTATGATTGTCATAAAAAAGATTGTATGATTGTCATAGAAAAGATTGTATGATTGTCATAGAAACGTTTGTATGATTGCCATAGAAAAGATTGTATGATTGTCATAGAAAAGATTGTATGATTGTCATAGAAAAGATTGTATGATTGTCATAGAAAAGTATGTATGATTGTCATAGAAAAGATTGTATGATTGTCATAAAAAAGATTGTATGATTGTCATAGAAAAGATTGTATGATTGTCATAGAAAAGATTGTATGATTGTCATAGAAAAGATTGTGTGATTGTCATAGAAACGTTTGTATGATTGTCATAGAAAAGATTGTATGATTGTCATAGAAACGTTTGTATGATTGTCATAGAAAAGATTGTATGATTGTCATAGAAAAAATTGTATGATTGTCATAAAAAAGATTGTATGATTGTCATAGAAAAGATTGTATGATTGTCATAAAAAAGATTGTATGATTGTCATTGAAAAGATTGTATGCTTGTCATAGAAAAGATTGTATGATTGTCATAGAAAAGATTGTATGATTGTCATAGAAAAGATTGTATGATTGTCATAAAAAAGATTGTATGATTGTCATTGAAAAGATTGTATGATTGTCATAGAAAAGATTGTATGATTGTCATAGAAAAGTATGTATGATTGTCATAGAAAAGATTGTATGATTGTCATAGAAAAGATTGTGTGATTGTCATAGAAACGTTTGTATGATTGTCATAGAAAAGATTGTATGATTGTCATAGAAACGTTTGTATGATTGTCATAGAAAAGATTGTATGATTGTCATAGAAAAAATTGTATGATTGTCATAAAAAAGATTGTATGATTGTCATAGAAAAGATTGTATGATTATCATAAAAAAGATTGTATGATTGTCATTGAAAAGATTGTATGATTGTCATAGAAAAGATTGTATGATTGTCATAGAAAAGATTGTATGATTGTCATAGAAAAGATTGTATGATTGTCATAGAAAAGATTGTATGATTGTCATAGAAAAGATTGTATGATTGTCATAGAAAAGATTGTATGATTGTCATAGAAAAGATTGTATGATTGTCATAGAAAAGATTGTATGATTGTCATAGAAAAGATTGTATGATTGGCATAGAAAAGATTTTGTATGGATCGTGAAAGAAAAACCTCAAAAATTAACAACTTAAATAATGTTTTTTGTCGAGGTTTAGAAAAACTACTTTCTTAAGAAAAATTTATTCAAAACATAAAAATATGACTAATTTGCAACAATCTTGCATATTCAAAGCTTATATCGGATATTAGCAAATCTGAAAATAATGCCACTTTTTGATTATTTCAAACCACTGCGGATATTGACAAAGCATTAAAAACTTGGATTCAATAAGCCCAACAAACTGTCACCAAAACAAAGAACTATTAAAAAATTAAAAATGATTTAAATATTGATGGGATTAAACGTTGCTATGAGTTTCTAAAAAATGCCTTAATCCAAATAAATTAAAATAAGAAATAACTTATCTTCTTGCCAAGCGATTTCAAATTTACTAATGTAGTTATTTACTACCATCCTCGATATTATGCACAAAGGTGTAAAAGAAACATTAAATTAACTACGCAGTATGATTTGGGTACAAAAATTTATATCAAAATGCTTTTACAAAAATTTCATTTATGCAAACAATTTGAGGACTCCCTTAATTTCAACCTAAAGCACCCCCTTTAACCTTAAGATTAGATTAAATGATTACCACACCATTATACTTACAGATTTGGACTATGCAGGCCAACTATAAATTAAAAATATATACAAAAGTATTGTTTTACCTAAGACTTGGATTTTTTTATATACCTTTTGAACTGCACGTTCTTCATTTTCAGATCTTTTTTCTGATTTATCTGCTTAATCTTGCGTTTATAGCAACGATGGTTCATAGCAAAACGTAGAGCACCTTGGAAATCATTTTCCAACAAGACTCACTTTTTATCTCAAAAGTCACTTAAAACTTAATATAATCTCGAGGAATATCATGGAATTACAGTTTTCCCGCTGCACCGTGGAGGGTAAGAATCTTTAAAAGATTGTTGCTTCGACAAAACGCTGCCTCCGTAAAGTAATAGCTAATGCACGCTTTACTTACGAAGAACATTTAACTATATAAGCCGATTTAAAGCCATCATCAACAATCGGTCGATTACATTTACATAAAATAAACTTAGACCCGATTGATACCAACTCATTTATTGCATGGAAGGACAATAAACTTCTCAGAAATTAAAGATAATAATTTAGAGTATAACTTGAACACTCGCAGCGCATACATTGATAATGATATACATTGATAAATCACTATTGTTAGCGATGGAGCGATGAATATGTTACCGTGTTGAGAGAATATAACAAGCATATTAAAAAAAGGGAGCGACCTAAATTGCAATAAATAATGTGATATTAATACATGGTCCTTATATTAAGTAGAAATTTTGGAAAACGGAAATTGTTACTAGTCAAATGGCATGATAATCGTATACGAATAGCAGAAACTAAGTAAGGGTAAATAAATTTTTATTCAAAGAACTATTATTAAACTATACTTCTTAGGAGGTTAATGTTGAAAGTTGAACGAAGAAATAATTAACGTGAAGATTTGCAATGAAAATGACATTTAACTCTCTGTAAATAAACTAGTTGGCCAGAAATGTTACGTGATCGCACACGTGTTTAAACCTTTTACGGTTCTTATTTATCATATCTTTGTATTCAGGATTCTCATTTTCTTCAGAGTTAAACAAATCGCACATTAAGAAACGCGTGTCACTTGTATATAAATAATAATTGTTTCATTATAAAATATATTAATACATAATACGAGACTCTTTACTTTAATTACAAACAAAAGAAAATATATACAACACACATCTTTATATGCAATGTCTATTGTCATTACGATATGATATAATCATTATATCATTATTATTTTTCATAATAATGGTTTCTTTATAAAATATGTTAAATATAAAAGTATGAATTTTATATATAACGTTAAATATAAAAACATAAATTTTTAAAAAGGTGTGACATTTAAGTATATTAATGTTAAACAGCTTAAAACCCTTTTTAAATTTCTTTATTTATTTACCTTAAATTCCTTTACATCAGCTAGCATATCCTTTACAGCCTCAGTGAGTAGAAAAGCCCACTCTTTTAAATATAAACAACATGCTTGATACTCTGATGTTGATTTCATATGTTTTAGGGTTAGATTTTCTTTTCTATGAGACCATATGTACTTGGTAAGGTCAGTTATACATGAATTTTTGATTCGTGCCAACGGTGTATATAAGTTGCCATAAAAATCTTTGTTAAAGAACACATCTACTTCGTCAATTAACAAAATCATGGGTCTAGTTAGCTTTCTGTGAGACACAACAGTTTCTGTTCGTTTAGAGACTATGTCAGCAACGCAATTACGAATGTTACAGTTCTGATTGATATTATCTTCGCATATGGTGTTGAAAGTGGCATAGTGAATATGACTAGTCAAACCTAGAGAGCTGAATAAGGGAAGAAATGACTTGTAGTCACGTGAGCTTAGGTACTCGCTGTAACAAGCGCAACTGACATCAAAACCAATAAGACTTAGAACACACGATACAACGGCCAAAACTAATGACTTTCCTTCACCTGTTCCTATTTGCACCATATTATTCTGAAGCTTGTTGTTGCTGACATTTTTATTTTCGTTTATGTTTTTTAAATTATCTGTAAAGCTTTTGCCCTGCTTTGGTTCAAAGTAGCCTATTCCTAAAATGCGAAATACAGATATAACCTGACTTGGGTGAGGTGTAAGCAAATAAGAATCCTGATTTTCAATGCCCTCCATTTCATTATAGTATTCAGCATTTTGTAATGTCCACAACGCAAATATTCTTGCAACAAGTATGCTCATATTTTTTCTATCGTGCTCGTCCCATATTTTTTTTTGCAACACATTTTCAGCCATTTTGTCTCCATTATGCTTTATTAACAATACAAACTCATTCAGCACATTTTTTTCACTTATTTGAATGATATATTTTGTAATAGTTTGCTTATAATTATTTATATATAATTCAAATATATCTCTAAGTCTTTGTGTGCTTTCTTTATTTATATCGTCACCTTCAAGATTATTTAAGACATAATCTATTCCATGATACCTGGTATTCTGATTAAAAATTGATATGACTTGTCCTTTAAAGACCGAGTGCTCCGAAATAATATTGAAGCCAACTCCACTAGGATCTTGTTGCAAAGCAATACTCAGCTCTGCCATCTCCATTCTTTTTCCATACTGATTTTTGTATATTTTAAAAATGTGATCTAATTTTTCATTTATGCTTTCCGTATATTCAGGTAAGTTATTAGCAAAGGTTTTAATTTTTATTAACCACTTTACTTTTTCATTGACATCACATTCAGATCTTTCAACCATTTTGAAAAGATAGTTTATTGTTCTGTCCAGCTTTTCTGTATTTTCTTGCATTATTGTTGACAAGTTAAAATTTATCCCTACGGATTTTGAGTGCCTATCAAACATTTTAATATTTTCTAAGTTATGTCGAAACAAATCAAATTCTTGCAACGTTATATCAGAGTTATCTTCACAAAAGATATTTTTAGTAGAGTTAGATAGTTTATTAAAGTAAGTCTTTAAAAAAGGAAACACTTCGTTTTCATATGAATTTGGATCAAATAAATTATCGTTTATATGATTTTTCAGTTCCTTTGAATGAAACAAAAATAATAAATGTTTAACAAACTCTTGATAAAAAAGTTCTCTTTCGTTGTTATTAGCTTTGTGAAGCTCAATATTTATTATTTGAAGTTTGTAATTTCTAAGTTTTGTTGATAGATTTTCCCTCATTTCATTGTATGGAACGCAGGTCTCAATATTTGACAAGTTTTTTTTGACAATGGAATTTTCTGTATTTATTCGGGAATGACGTATCACACAAATTAAAAATGAGTTCCATTTTTGACAAACAACCATTGATTCATTTATTTTTGTAACATTGAGCTCCTCTAGGGAGCTATGAAATTTTGTTTGATAATCAAGAAAAAAATTAACAATGTTTTCATACGATTTACCCAATCCAACTAAAATATTGTCAATCAATTTATTTAAATTTGTAAAGGTAGATATATTTGAATGGTTCAACGTTTCAATACATGTCTTTAGTTCAATAAAACTATTTATATTTTGGAAGCTATTTATTGTATATTCAGTATCGCGATTACTTGAAATGTCAGAAAACGTTGAGCATAAGTTAATAAACTTATTACGTAAATTACATTCTATTATTGAAAAAATACTTTTAACTTCAACTAATGTTTCCCCAAATACTTGCATGAACTCCAAAACTCTTCTAAATATAGACAACGCTTTAATGATATTGTTTTTTTCTAAGTAGCTTGTTAAAGAGTCATTGCATTCCTCTACCTGGTCAATCACCATATTTTGTGTCAAACGGATATACTTATCCATACCATTACATTAACATTTTTCCATAAATTTATGAATTAAATTAATATCCATAGAATTTTTAATTCTAGTAAATTCTTTATTGTAAGTTTTATTTACTTGGTCTATATAGACTTTAAGTTTTTCTTGCTCAGATTCTATCCAAGGTTTCATACCGTCTGGTAATAAATAAAGAGCTGCTTTAATAAGTTCCATGTTCTCCGCACGCTCATCTGGTTTTGCATTTTTAACGCATTGGAAAATTTGCTGCATTTGAATCCGTATAGCTTCTTTTATTTTACCCAATAATTCAACGTATTTTTCGTTGCTAGTATGGTTAACAAGTTTTTCTAATTCTTCAATTATTAATTTTGGTGTGTTTTGGAAATAATCGTTTATTGGCATATTTACATACGTTTCCGTTATTGTGTTCAACCTTTCTTCAAAGTTTTCTTGAATCGTTTCAATGTTAATGTTTATTTCAGAAGAACTGTAAAAGTTTTCAAGCGAGTTGTAAATATGGTTTACATGCTCTTTTTTTATCTCAGCTTCGTAAAAATTGTTATTGTTTATGTAAAACTTAATTCTGTCTATGTATTTCAGTATTTTTCTTGAAATGGTCTCATAAATAAAATTGAAACAATTGGTTAGCTCAACTTCAGTGTCTTGATCTATGTAGCTATTTAGTTTAAACTTTTCTTTAAGAAAAACATTGTTGTATAAGCATTTTTTAGCTTTGTCTAACTTTGATAGCTGTTTAATTACCTTGTCAACCTCGTTTTTATCTAAGCTATTTCCCAATGCTCTCAAATTATGTTTAGTTTTAGTTATTAATTTGTTTATTATATTTGCCAAGTTTGTTTTTATTTTATAAATTGAGTTACTTTTTATTACTTTTTCATCGATTTCAAAAAGTTTCATAGCCAACTCATTAAATTTATAGTTTTCAACACATTCCAAAACACTTTTTTCAAAATCATCCAACTCTTGATTTTGGTTTTTGTTGTAATCACTAAACAGTTGATAAAATTTGTTATTTTCAAAATACTTATCAAGCTGAATAAAAGCTTTAACTATTTCGGTTTTTAAACATGCATTGTTACCAAGTTGATCAATAATTAAATGATAGTTTGACAGTCTATCAAAAATATCCTTCTTGATGTGCTGACTTTGCATCAAATTGTTTAGCAGTGAATAGTTCTGAATTTTGATGCATTCCTCAAGTCTAACCTTAATTCTCTGTGTTAATCCATCGGCCAAGTAAGAGTTTTCTAAAGTAAGTTTCTGTATTTGGTTTAAATAAGTATCCATTTCAGATATAATAAACTCTTTATACTTACTTAAAAACGTTTCAAAATCTAACTTGTAGCTAGTTGCCTTTTTGTTGAGAAACTTTGTAGAAAAACACGAGCTTAAGAAATTTAATGCAGCTTCAGCTTTGCTGTGCTCAATTGTTTTAAATAAAAACTCAACGCCAATTAATTCAGCGTCTTTAATTTTGTTTTCGACCTCTTTGATTTTGTAGTTTAGGCTTTCAATATTTTTGTATTTTGTTTTAGAAATAAACTCGTTAGCTTTATCAGATGGTAAATTTTTATTTGACAACTCATTGAACTTTGACTTTATCATTTTAAGATGACCAATTTGATGCTTAATTTGGTCAATTGTATTTTTTAGGTCACTAATTTTTTTTTGTTTTCATTATCAGTATTAAAAAGATCTTCAATACTTTTAAAATTATACGACATTAAAATTTTTTTACCTTTGTCTGTTTTAGGTCCCTTTAAAGTAGCACTGTACTTGTTTAAAATATCATTATACCAATTTTGTTTTAAATTGTGTTGTTCAATGTTTTTTTCAATACCATTAATATTGTTTGTGAGGCTTATAATTTTCTCATCTACCTGTTCTAATGTATCGTAATGTTCGCTTTTTAAATATAAAAAATTTGCCTGCATCAATTGGTATTCGGTTAAAATATTTATCATTTTATTTTTTCTACTTTTTAAGTTATTCAAGCTATATTTTTCTAAACAAAAAGTATTTTTAATACTCACAAGGCTTTTTTCTACCGAATTATTAAAATGTTTGAACGATTGATCATGATATTTTTGAATGTCTGGAACACTATCCTGACACTTTTTCAAATTGTCAAGCTGCTGCAGTGTTTTATCTACTTTTTTTAGCTCTAAGTCCAAATTTGTTTCAATAACTGTCTCACATAAACCAAACGCCCAGCCTGTTAGATTGTTTTGAATGTCTTGAATGACACTGTCATAATAGCCCCATTTATGCTTATTTAGCCACTCAGCATCTTTTAGATTTTTGAGATTTGAAAACAACTTGCTGTAGTCAACAGTATCATTGTTTTTGTTGTTTAGTAGTTTTTCTGTGTCATCACTTAAGCTTTTCATGTAACCAGTAATACTTTGATTAGTCGAATAGTACATTTCAGCGGTCCGTTGCTCAACAATTCCAATTCGACGGACCAATTGCATTTGCTTATAAACTCTTTCCATTTCTTTAAACTTTTCATTTTTAAAGAGATGATTGATTTCAGTGTTTAAATTATCAAAAAAAAGAACTATTTTGCTCAGAAAGGTTTCACAGTGTTTGTTTATTTCATCTTTAGAGATATGTTCGCATAACAAGTTAATGTGTTTGGCGTTTTGTAAAATTTGAAGAAAGTCATTGATATCAGACAAGTCATTATCAGTTAAATATTGCTGTGCAAATAAGTGTTCACAACTTTCTGACAATTTTTTTAACTTTGATATGACTAATGTTCTAAGATTTTCGTAAATGGAAATGACTTGCGTTACTAGATTTTCATGGTCAGAAAACTTAATACAAATAATTTTAGAATGTTGAAGTGGATTAGCAGACGCATTGAAATCATTTTTTTCCAAAACATTTTCAAGTTTTGATTGGATTGTGTTTACCTGAGAAGTTAAAAAACATTTATATATAATGTTGCAATTAAGCATAGTACAAAAAGTTACGTTCAGATAATTTAATCATGTTCTTTTTTCTTATAGATAAATAAACTTAAAAACTTTATTACAATCAAAAAGATGACTGATTTTAAAATCAAAATTTAAAAATTTGTTTTTCATTTACATTTAAATAAAAGCCGCAATATTTCAAATCAAATTATATAAATTTTTTGTCAAATCTGCATTTTTCGGATTCGAAAACCAGTATGAATAAACAAGGAAAAGGGATATATTATAACAAAAGTATAATAAAATATAACTAAAAATAAAAATATAACTAAAATAAAAATAATAGCAAAAGCAGTTAGAAGGAAAGCACATATATTATAATAATAAAATATAACCATGCTATTTATACTGATAACATTATCATTGTATTCAATTTATTTGTACCGGATTCATAATCATTTTTACTCAACGTTTTTCCTTAATTTTTATAATAACAATAATACTGATTAGTTAATACATAAATAAAAAATATGAATACAAGTATTCAGGCCCGCCGTGAGTCTTTGCGGCGCCCAGGGTCAAAATTTCCCAAGCGCCCTGCTGAAAGTGAAAGCTGATATAATGATCCATAATTCAATACATATAATAAGCCATTTGATAACAAATCAAAGAGGATAAAAGAATATAGAACTTTTTAATTTTAATTAATGAACAATTAAACAGTTTATTTCTAGATAATTGCAATGGTCTTTTGACTTGGTTATACACTCATACATAAAATGATAAAGTCGACACTAGAACATGGTAGAAACAGGCCAAAGACAATCATTAAACACTATTGGATGTTAAGAGCAAAAACTTGTCTAGAATACAACAGCTATTGTTGTTTCAACTTCAGAGGAAATTGATCTTTTGAGCTGTACTCATGGCGAATTTGGAAATTACTTCACAGTAGCACAACTTTTTGGCAAGATCATGCTCAATGGAAATAACCAGAAGATTCGTAAGTCGTTCTTGTCTCATTGTAGACCTTAATGCTGTCTTAACTAGAGCAAGTTTACTAAAAGATCTCTCGCCTTCCGCAACAGAAACAGGGATGGTGTTGAAGATGCGCAGCAAAATGCAGACTGATTCGAAGAGCGGCTGAAGACCTTTCTAGTATATTCCATTCAATAACGTCATGGAAGTGAGAAATTCTTTTTGAACAAAAAGATTGGATCGCTTCAGAGCATCAAGGTGGCGGACCTCTTTAATAAGTTTCTCTTCCTCAACATCGGTCGCGTAGATTTGTGCCAAGACCTTGCATTTCTCCTCCAATTGGATAGGTGCTTCAACACTTTCTTCTGATTCTTCTTCATTTGACATAACAAGAGATTTTAATGACCACAAGAACGAAAACATATTCGTCGTCTTCTCAGCAGCTTGTAATCTATCGCTGACCTGCTGAATAAGAGTATCAAGAGCGGTATTGAATACGCTCACCTCAAACTCTTTTGCTTCGTCTTCATAAAAATGAGCGGTGTTCCTCACCTCTTCGTGAAAGGTCTTCCTTTTTTTCGTCGTCTTCTTCACAAATTCTGATTGAAAACCAAAAGAAGCAAGACCAGATGCTATCAAACGTGCCTCATTATGGATGCTGGTCCAAGATGATCTCAGTCAATTTAGATCTTCAATAAGAGTCTTAATGAGTTTCATCTCGTCGTCCAAGGAGATATTTTCTGATTGGAGCGCAAGGCTCACGTAGTAGATTGAAGAGTTTTATACCAAAAGGTTGTCATTACAATGAAATCGAATGAATGAACCCACTTCTCCAGAGATTTTACTTCATTCAATTGATCAGCTGTTAGATCAAAATCGCGGAGCTTTTTCAAAGATTCGAGGATTTCCCTGGGTCGCTTGACTAACGGCTTCACGGCCTCGATTCGCGCACTCCATCTGGTTTGTGACGTTTGATGAAGGGACAAATCAGTGGTTTCAATCAAGACTTTCCACCGACTAGGGCTTGCACTGAAAAGATTGTAAAGTGACTGGACTCGGCCAAAGTAGTTCTTGACTTCAACCGAAGATTCAGCAGAATGAACACCAGCAAGGTTGAGACTATGAGCGCTGCATGGCATATAGAGAGCTTGAGGATTTTTTTGCAGTATAACCGCCTGTACTCCTTTGTATATACCGGACATGTTCGCCCCATGGTCATATTCTTGACCTCTGCAGTTTTTGAGATCGATTCCATTTTGTTCTTAGACGTCCATAATAAGCTTTGCAATGTCAGCACCTATCTTTTTTTCTAAATTCTCGACCCTCAGAAAGAGCTCTTTCACGATCCATCTTTTGTCAGTACCAAAGTATACAAAGAGGAGAACAAAGGTGATTTTCTCGGTGTGAGAGACGTCCGGAGTCCCGTCCACAAGAATGGAATAGTAGATGGCCATATGAGCTTCGTTGATGATGGCACCGTGAACGATTCCTCCGCACTCTTTGATGAATTTATTTTGAGTGCTCCAGCCCAAGTAATGGGCATTCATTTTGTTACCTTCTTGTTGGCAGCGGGAAACTTCTTCTAAGTGTAGTTGAAGAGTCTTGTTGTGCTTGGCCAAGAGCTCTAGGGTAGCTAAAAAGTTGCCATTGTCGTCATCTCCAATCATTTTTGATGAACCTATAAATTATAATAATAAAACAGATTTATTTAAAACAATAAAGAAGCATTTCTTTTATTTTATGATGATTTTATATTATGATATATGAATATTATAACATATTTATTTAAAAGAATAAAGAAGGATTTGTTTTATTTAATGATTTCCAAAATATCTAGTTAATCTAATAAATATAAGCTAAATAGATTTAAAGATAATCGATATCACAATAGAATAATGGTAAATAGATTTACCTCTGAAACTAAGGTTTCGTTACTCTGAAAAAAGAGTAACATCTAAGATGCATCGTATGATTTTACGCCACCTGGCTGCTTCATTTCTTATCGAGTTTTCAAGAGCTGCATCTATTCCGCTTTGATTTTCTAAGCTTTCTAGCGCCGTTTTCCATTCTATGTAAAAGTTTTGATGCTGGGCGTTATTCTGGTGACTTTTGACTTTCTCAGGTAGCTTTTGCCAGTTACAGCTTATTCCATGATTCCATCTTAGAAGGTGCGACTGGTGTCCGATCCCAAAAGATTATTTGCTTCCAAACAGAGAACACGGAAAGCAAATAAATGATTTCTTAGATACACTCCATACCAGCCAATCTCGGCATGTCTTCTCCCCATTGAGAGAAGTTTCGTAGAAAATTGATTCAGGAACCTTCTTCTTATTAGAATCTTTTGGGAAAGCTTAAGGATTTCGAGGAAGCCCCTGTAGAAGCACAGAATCTCTTTCCACTTTGGAAAAATTTGCTGTCCTCAAAGCAGGATCATTGGAAGGAATGGTAGCGATGGGTTCTTCTGTTGGCAACAACTGAGAATAAATTTTAAAAAATCTTATTTTATTAGCTCAAAAGTTTATCAACATCATTTCTTTTAAAGAGGTAGAACTTACCAAAATATTCTCTTCATTCACAGCTACCATTCCGATATTTGATAGGGGCTCTCCCGAGCTTTCAGAAATGTCAGTGACATCGTTTTCAGTTTCAACTTATAAAAATAAGTTAAAAATTAATATAACATTGAATTAATCAAATAGGAAAATATCCTTTCACAGGGAAAACTATTTACTACTTGAATCGATTGACTTGGCAGGGAAGAGTTTGAAGCAGTAGGACTTTCATCTTCTCTTTTTTTTGTAACTGTAATACCACAGTCTTGAAGAGTGCGTTTGTTCTTTTACTCATTCGCAGTTCTTTGAGCAGCATTCTTTCTTACTTGACAACCAGAATCTTTCTTTTTAAAACCAGACATGTTTTAATTCTTTTTGAAACAGCATCCGCTCATAAGCAAAGAACTGCTTGAATTTCTTCTTGATTGGGTCTATCAGACTATCACATCAATAAAAAACCCGTTATTTACTGTTTTATGATGCCAAAGTTATTCTAAATTCTCAAATTGTTTATACTTACATTAAGAAGTGATGATATACACGATAAATATGCAGTATCTGACTTTTTAAATGAGTTATTTATTGTAGAACACAGCACAAAACGTGTATATTTTCACATGTTTCAAAATTGTTACAAATTTGAGAGATTTTAAAAATTAGAGAAATAAATTTAATAAAATTGTTTTAATATTTTATATCAATATCAAACTACTTGGATTTAATCTAATCTCTTTTTTTAATAAAGTAAAAAATCTCCTTTTTTAATTGAATGAAAATCTCCGTGCACTAAAGTTATTTTAAACATTTACTTCAGCCGCTGAAGTAAATGTTTAAAATAACTTTTTATTAATCTAACAACCCGCTGAAGTTCAGCGGGTTGTTAAATTAATCATTAGTATTCACTTTATTAGCGAGTTTCCGCTATATAAAAAGAATCGCTTTATTTAAAACTAGTGTTTTGAAAGTAATGCTAATTTCTTAGTTTTAAAGCATCAATTTTTTTTTTTCTAAAAAGTCCAAATATGAAGCACTTCATTACAAAGTTGAAAACTTAAACTAAAAAAAATTGACCGGCCAAAAAAAGCAATTGACCGTCTATTATATGTTTTAGCTGCTCAAATTGACCGGCTGCTTTTGATTTCATATTTTCCACGCTGCTTCCCAGTACTTCATCTTTTTTTTAAATAAACATGAAAAAAAAAATTATTTGTATTTGGCTTCGTGCGCCCCTGTTGACCTGACGCCCGGGACAAAACAACCCAGTAGACCCCCCCTCCCTCACGGCGCCCCTGCAAGCATTTCAAATATATTTTAAAATTTTGTGAAACTATTGATGTTTTTCTTGAAAGTATAAAAATAAGTTTGAAAGGTAGAAACCTTGAAAGTTAAGAATCTTGATTTATATATATATATATATATATATATATATATATATATATATATATATATATATATATATATATATATATATATATATATATATATATATATATATATATATATATATATATATATATATATATATACATATATATATATATATATATATATATATATATATATATATATATATATATATATATATATATATATATATATATATATATATATATATATATATATATATATATATATATATATATATATATATATATATATATGTTCTTTATGTTCTTTATGTTATGTTCTAAATATTCGTTTTTTATGTTATGTTCTTTATGTTATGTTCTAAAAGGTATTAATCGGGAAAAAATTAATAGTTATAATGAATTGTTTGTTGGACTTTTAAAAAGTATAGTTCTAGCCATGGTTTTTAAAAATTGGTCACATAAAATAACTGCTTTTAAATAAATTAAAATAACTTAAGTTTTAGCCTTAAAATTTCCTAACAATCAGATTTTATAGCTTAGGTATGACCCCATGTAAAACTGATATTGGGTGTCTGTAAAAGATTAATAATATTCAATTCGAGATCACAATATTAAAAGTTTATTTTTATTTGAATCAAAATAAAGTCGCTACCGGCGGTTGTCAAACCCAGATTAGCTTAAATAAAATCATTCTGCACTGTTATTGTGATTTACTTTCAATTTTAATTACAGAAAATATTGAATTATGTTGTTTATTAGAAATAGTCTTTCTTTTAAAAATTTATATCTTTATCATGAAATTTTAATCTCATCTATTAATCCTTTAACATTGTGATCATAATATGATTATCATCATCATTTGAAAATGTATATTTAAAATATGCAACTCGTTTTCTACGTTTAATAATATTTTAATTATCATTATAAAAATTTACCATTATTAAATAGATATAAAATCGTTTTAAAGTTATGACACCATCTTCGCTCCGAAAAAATTAATTAATGTAATATTAATTTTGTAACGACGTTGTAATAAGTTGCTTATGTAAGTCTAACATAAAACCAAAATTATATTATTATCGGGTCTCATATTCTAAATTTAACAATTAAAATTAAAAAAGCCTCATTACTTAGTAAAAATAATATCTGTAAAAATAGTATCAATGAATGCATACCTGATCAATTACAAATTGACAAGCATTAATGTAGCTTTGGTTGTCACACTTTCCAGTAATAATTTTTAAATTATGCAACGATGTTCTAGAGTATTCATTGTAAAATATGTCCAGAGTTATAAAATTGTTTGATTCTTCAATAGATTTTAAACGCAAATTTTGGACTAATGCCTCGCTTAAACAACTTATTTTTGCTAGGTACTCACTATCTTTAAAAATATGTAGGTCTTTAAATTTTTCAATTTGAGAAACATAATAATCTAGATCATCAAACGATAGTTTGTTTTGATTTTCGAGACATCTGCTAAGTCTTTCTTTTGTATCTTCGTAACATCTCTCAATATGATTGCATACAAAATCAATCGTTTCTTTCAAAATTTGCTTAAGCTCGTTTAATCCTAAAGTGTCACACAAAAATTTAAGTTCAAGTATTTTATATTTTATCAGATTATAATTGTGGTTCTTAGCGGCACATATTATAGCAGACTTGTTGTATTCGGCTTGCTTGTGCAACGTACTTTTTGATCGTTCGGTCATTGTGTACCTAAACACTCGTTTCGGATCGTCAATGCAAGGTGTATTAATAATCTTATTTAAAACATCTAATGGGCCATGATTAATAAGGTCTAAATATAACCCGTTTTTTTTAGTTTTTTTTAGCATATCTTCAAAAATAGCTTTGAATGATTCGTCGCTAGGCTCGGACAACTTTTCAATGCTTCGGTAAATGTTAAGAAGACTTGCGTAAATGTCATTTTCTGGATACTTAGTAAATAAATAAGAAAATGTAGACAAATATTCTTCAATGTTTATAACCATATCCTGAATCATTCGTGTCATTTCGCGAATACCTTCACCTCGACCACCTTGATTTTGATAATTTATTAAAAAAACTGGTCGAACGCTTTTGCAAGATCGGATTCCTTCAACTAAACTAATACTATTAGCAATATCCACTTCAGGACCAGCAGTATCACCAAAGCCGGGTGAATCGCATAATATTATAAACTTATCAGTAAATGCACCCAAATCTTTTAAATTGATTTGAATCGGATTTATGTATCTGCTTTCCGATTCGGCATGGCAGCTTATAACAAAATTAGATAAAGCATCCGGAAATGGTTCTGCTGCTGTAATATGATTTAGAAACTTACCAGGTTCAATTTCTATTTTTTGTTTAATCATTTTAGAACCAGATAAAAAATGAATAGTGGCTGTTTTACCAGAACCCGTCATTCCTAATAAAAGTATTACGTCACGATTTTCAATCAATTTATAAGTTTCATTTGCTTTTTCAATGAGATAAATTATTTCTTTAATATCCAGAGGTTGAATTTGTTTAAACAAAGATTCAAGACTTTGAAGTGCTGAACTAAAGTCATTCATTTTTATTAGGTCCAAGGCTCTTGTCAAATGTTCTTTTGCTTCTATATTAAAATTGATTTCTTCAGTAGAAAGTTTCTCATATAAAGACATATAATTGTCAAAATTTATTGGTTCTTCTTGTTTCTTTAATGAGCGGGTAATGTTGTTGTCGGGTAAAAGTTTTAAACGAATAAGATAAATTAGTCTTGAAATATACTTCTCAAAACAGTCGGGCATCAAAGTTGATATTTTATTTTGCTTATCTAATTTGGTAATAATTTCATCAGTAAATGTTTCTTGACGTATATCTTGAAGTTGATAGTTAACAAACTTGCTCTGATTGTTTTTTGAGTCTTGATTGTAATTATTTTGGTAATTTCTAGATATTAGTTCATTCAATGATGATTCTATTTTTTTAAATATTTTAGGTGAAATATCATCTTTATATTTATACAATCCTATTGCACTTTCTTCAAGAATCGCATTTAATAATAAACCGTTCGTATCATTAAAACCCGAATGTTTAATGATCAAGTTTACTGAATCACTTTTAGCTTTCTGTTGATTAAATAAATAAGAAGTATCTAAAAATAAAAATGGTAGAATGCACTAAAAACACACACACGCACATTCAATCTCTCTCTTTCTCTCTCTCTCTCTCTCTCTCTCTCTTTTTCCCTCTTTCTCTTTCTTTTATATATAAACATTTATATATATATATATATATATATATATATATATATATATATATATATATATATATATATATATATATATATATATATATATATATATATATATATATATATATATATATATATATATATATATATATACTTTTTCGCAAATAATTTATAAATCACTTTTAAAAATAAGGTATATAAATCACTTTTATAAGAATAAAGTTTGTCTACAGTAAAAAAATAAACATACATTCAATTCTGTTAAAAAAAAAAAACACGAGAGCTGCTCAATTTTTGCGGCTCCGTCTCCACCAAGAAACATTGGCTCCCCGGCTCCACGGCTCCGGCTCTGGCTTGGCTCCACAAGCCTGACCAAGACACATTACAACACTCTTAAATTATATTTTTGCTTTGTGTATGTTAATATTATGTAATAAATTTGCCTTTTTAACTCCTTTAAAACAACATGTTAACAATTTAGAAATAACAGTTTTGAATACTACAAACCAAAATTTGCAATAAAAATTTTGATATATAGAAAATTCTAAAAATTTGCCTAGTTTGGAAAAAAATGCTGCAGGGGGTAATTCTTGTTTGATTTCACTCATTTCAGTCCTATTTTTAAGGTTTTTTATAAGAAATTTAAAAATTTTGGTTAAAAAAATAAAATGTTATAAAAAAATGTTCACTCAACCTTAATACCAAAAATTTTATACAGTTGTCGACCGCAAGCATTAGCGGTCGCTATCTTGATAGTATATATCCATTTACTATCAAGATAGCGACCGCTAATGCTTGTGGTCGACAACTGTATAAAAACTAAAGTAAAAAAAAACGAGCATAGGGTATTTAAATACAGTTATTTTAATAATTTATCTTATTGTAAATAGTTTTTTGAATGTTCTTTTTGGGTGAACTTGTATAGAATTCATATCCCAAAATATATTTAATATATCTTTGCCTGAAATAAAACTCTATTAAATACCTTATTTTTAAAAGTGATTTATAAATTATTTGCGAAAAAGTAAATGTATTCTACAGCATTCAAAAATAAACTTAGTTATTTGTGTTTTTCATTTTTAAGATTTTCTTCCTCTAATAGCATATTTGAATTTTTTTATTTTTTATTTTTAATTTGCTAACTTATATAATTCAAACAAAGTGAACACATTTGGTTGTTTATCCATAATAATTATTTAGCCTGCTTGACTAATTTATTTATTAAACAAATTATTAAATTGTTTTATTAAATTAAATTTTATGTAAGTTAACAAATTCTAACTTATCAATTAAATAGCTTCAGAATCTTCATTTTTAAACTATTTATTAAAAAAAAAATGAAAAAAATAATAATTGGCAACAAACGAAACCACAAACTTAAAAAAATGAGTCAATTTAGACATAATCAACGCTTGTGCAAAAAACGTAAACAAATTTATAACTTTATTATAAACTTCAAATTGTTGAAAATGTATGTTTACCTATTTGCTGACACGTCAAGGATGCTTTTCATAAAACATAGGTTTTATTGAAAATTTAATTTATAACGTGGGTGCTGTTTATAAGTTAAACTTAAAATTTACCAAATTAAGACGTGAGCGCATGAAAGCCAGGAATAAATTGAAAGTTAGTAAAGTCAAATTAAAGGCGTTGTATTTTGATGGCAAAGACCAAATACTTAAATTTTTTCATGAAAAGAAAATCATAGTGATGGAAGTTTACATTTACATGATTCAGGAACCTGATGGGGGCTTTTTGGGACACTCTACTATTTTTAACAGAACAGCTGAAGCTATAAAATTTCAAAATCTCTATATCGCAGTATCATTTTGAACAAAAACACTCAAAAAAACACAATATCATTTTGGATGATTTGAATGAAAAAACAGAAAAAAAAACAATATTATTTTGGATGATTTACAAGTGCTTTGCTAAGATGTAACAAGTGTAAACACTGAAAACAGGGTTAATGGAATTAGATTGATTAAGTTAGAAATCCAACGGCCTCTACAATTGATTAAATGTTTGTTACATGCAAATTAGCTTTCAATATTTCATTTGTTTTCGAAATTGGATTAATCAATATCTGGTCCTAGGTACTATTCAGGATCTATTGAAAAGTCTCTTGAAATTTGTGAGATTTTAAAGGCTGTTGATTTTCAACCTATAAGCCATATGTAGAAATGCCAGAGGTGGACAAAAAAGTACTCAGTACCCAGTGGGCATTTCGACGTCGAACGAACGTCGAGCGACGTCGGATCTCGACGTCGGATCGACGTTGGGTTTATGTTGGAAATGGAAATGTTATTTGACGTCGGATAAACTGACATCGCGCGACGTCGGCATTCCGATGTAAATCCAACGTGTTTTTTGAAAACTAAAAAACGCTGCCTTTGGCAGGAATCGAACCTCGGTCTATTTAGTAGTTTATCCTATGCGCTTACCACTACACCACAAGGACACATAAATTAATGAGTTTATTTAGTAATTTATACTTGTAGCTATTTGGGAATTATTACTTTGATAAGAAATAATTTTGTTTAAATATTATATAAATATTAAAACGAATAGTTATATATTATAAAAAATGTATACTCGAAAATGTTAATAGTTAAAAAACTATGCTAGTGCATCATACAAAACCTCATGATGTTTTATCAACCTTTATTCAAACTTTTTTCCATTAATAAAAAAACACGCTTAGTTCACATAATTATTGAAGAGCGCAATTGCACACATATTGTTGGGTTTGGATTAAGTTTTCATCAGCGATGTCTTACGACGTTGTTCCGACGTCATTTTAAGGACGTTGGATTGACGTCGGAAGACGTCAAAAGACATCGGAGTACGTTAATATTATGACGTTGCCCGACGTCTTTTTATCGACGTTGGATCGATGTCAGTACTGCGGCGTTTTTTGGACGTCTTTTATAAGATGTCGGAACAACGTCAAAATACATCGAAACGACGTCAGGGGATGTTGAGATAAAGACATCGCCCGACGTCATTTTACTGACATCGAAACAACGTCGGAATAGGTCTTTTGACATCGCTGATGAAAATCAAACGTAAATCCGACGTCGGATTGACGTCGGGTGCCCACTGGGTACACATCAGCTTTAACTATTTGACATTTGCCAGATGTACTAAGTGGCACTTGCTCTGTCAATTTGGAAAAGCGCAGCCCTGGAAAACTGGCTCCTCACCAATGCAAACAGTAATCTCAGATTATTTATTAATACCACCAATCTTTCATTAAATTTAGTAACTATTGCAATATACATTACGCGCGTTTATGCCCCTATGTGGTTCGTCATCAAGAAGGAGTCTTCTATATTTCATTGAAGAAGGCATCTATGCAGCACAATAGTCAACTCACAATATCTCCAAGATATTCTTCTGGTAGCGATATCAGTTGAGCAGCCATTACTCCGAGAATTAGGAGTTAGACGTATACAGAGAGCTTGAGAAGAAAGAAGTATAAATGCTAATCAAACTAGTGTGCGACGATTAATCAAGATATTATATACCAAGATATTATAAATATATCAAGATATTATATACTATAATAAACATAAGGGAGAGAATTTTTTATAAAGTTTTTTAAAATTTCTAAAAACGTGAATATATAAACGTGAAAATAAATAAAAGGTTAAGTTATTTAATTTTGATACAATAAGGAAATTTAGAGTTATACAGCTATTAATCCACGCCCCCGTTAAACATTCAAAACCGAGTGCGCAATAACGACAATTTAGATAACCATGCAAATAGAATTTTACTCTATGATTTTTTGGCTTTATATACTTTTTGTCTGATTCTTTATTTAAACTTTAAAACAAGGGATCGTCCATAAATTACTTAACGCTAAATTTCACAATTGAAGAAAACAAAATTGATCAAAATTTTTCCTCGCAGAGTCGTATGTTTAATAAAATACTTTATACAGCTCATTAAGTTTAATGAAAATCGCCATCCTAAAAAACTGAAGATATCTTCTACTTTTTTAAAAATTAGCGTTGCGTACTTTAAGAGTGATTCCATAGCGTTTTATAGTCTATCTATTTTTTGCTGTTTTTTAGAACAAACTTATTTTACTTAAAAATATGGAAGTAAGTAAGGAATAGGTATAGAATTAATTGGTGTGGAATATGTATAAAAATAGAAGTTCTGGTAAAGAACCGTATTTTACGGATTCGAAAAGCTAGGATATATAAGGAAAAAGTATTAAAAGGTTCGGTTTGGAATAGACTTACAAAGACCCGTATTTTTCGGGTCTGATTTCAGCTAGTAATTTAATAACGTGTTAGTGACAAGTTTTAAACGAAATTTATTGTTCCAAATTAAACGACCGTTTGCTTTAGTTTAATTTTAAAGATAACAGTAACCTTTGACCATTGAATCGCGCATTAAATATTTAACAGCATAGTATCAGTATAAGAATTTAATATATAGCAATATGTGCATCATTGTAATGTTTCCATTTATAATTTCCTTTTTTTTTTAATAAAGAATATTAAGAAATTCTACTAAAGGATAGTATTTTGTTGAGCACAAAATTGTTATAGTATTCATTTTTAATAAGTTTTGCCATAACCGCAACTGTTAGAAAAAAATATTTTCAAAAAATTGAAATTTAATAAATAATTCATTCTACAAATCAGTTTAACAATAAATGAATAAAGTTTGTCTACAGTAAAAAAATAAACATACATTCAATTCTGTTCAAAAAAAAACACGAGAGCAGCTCAATTTTTGCGGCTCCGGCTCCACCAAGTAACAGCGGCTCCCCGGCTCCACGGCTCCGGCTCTGACTTGGCTCCACAAGCCTGACCAAGACACATTACAACACTCTTAAATTATATTTTTGCTTTGTGTATGTTAATATTATGTAATAAATT